GAGGTGAGGTGCCGATCATTGGCCCGCAGGGGGAGGGAATGCCGTGCGATGCTCCCTCCCACATTCAGCAGCCGACTGTCGTCGCCCTGGGAGGAACACATCAGCGACCTGGCAGTGCCGTCGCCCCTCCTCCTCATCACACACGGGGCCCCCTCCCTTGCACCCCCGACTCCTCGCCGCTCACCGTCCCTGGCACTGGCTCGGAGCGCTTCCTGGGCCAGGAGGAAAGGGCGGGGCGATACCAGGCGGAGGTTGGTCTTCATGCTCCAGTCCATGGGCGCACACGTCGAGGGCGGGAGCTTGCTGGGGTCGAGTCCCTGTGCGACCCCGTTTCGCGTGGCGTCGCCAGCGGTGGGGCCGCTCGCCCCTGGCAAGGGCAGCGCGGGCGGGAGCCAGTTGCCGGCAGAGGGAAGGCCCTGTGGTGGGGCGGAGCAATGAGGTTGGAGGGTGGGGGGTCAAGCAGGGGGCCTACATGCCGGTTCTTCATCCCCTTGCTCAGGACTTTGGATGCGGGAGCCTTCCGCACCAGGGCCGGGGCGGAGGCATGGCGCTGGGTGGTGACGTGCTCGAATGTCCTGAGGCAGCTCTCGGGTCTGCAGGGAGGTGGGAGAGCAATGTTTGTCTTGAGTATGCAACGTGCTGATAACATCTGGCATACGCCTGGCAAGTGCACTTTGCAATGATCCCCGGCGCCCTGAGCCAGACAGCACACACCCAGGTTGGGCTGCATCCTCCCCGCAGCGCGAGGGGATGAGTCCAGAAAAGTCAGTGGATCCCCTGCAGGCGTGTGGGGCATGAGGAGGGCTTAGTGACTGGCCTGTGAGGGGCAAGGAGGCCTGTTCCTGGCTCACCAACTCTCCCCTCACCGTGGCAAGTCCGCTGCGACAGTCGAGGCATGGGCAGTGCGTGTTTCTAGGAGGTCATCGATGGCAGCGGAGTTGAAGCTGGGGCGACTGGTCTGAACGCCAAGCTTGGCGCGCTTTGGAAGGGCCGCAACCACCCGTTGCTGCGAGTTGGGCGGGGGAGGGAGACAGCACCGAACTCAGGACCTCAGGCCCCGACGGCGTCAAAATCGGGCTCGAACCGCACGGTTTGTGACTTCAAATGCACCTTCAAAGTACCCCATAAGCTCTCTCCTAACCCTGACCTGCAGCGTCTTGCGCTTGTACGCTTGGTCGTCCTTGACGGTCGCGTACGAGTCCTTGAGGGATGGCAGAGCGTTGCTGGGCTGGAGCACACCCATCGCGCGGTCGGTCGCCAGCCGCTGCAAGAAGGTGGCTCGAGCTGAGTTTGGAACTGCAACACGTCCACAGCCTCCGAGGCCCGGCCAGGTTCTTACATCTGAGGGCTGTCGGGAACTTCAATTCGCGCACCGGATTCGCTTCCCGCCAAAATATCGCGAATGAGGGGGGCTCCGCCGCAGCTCGCGACAGGTTGGGATCAGTCACAGCAGTAGTTCCCGACTCTCAGTCTGGAAACTACATGTCTGTCAATTGCAATGGACGGTTTTACCAGATCACGTTGCAAGGCACTCAGCCCTCAGGCGTCCCTGCCCCTCCAGTACGCGGCCAGCAGGCTGCCCATGACGCTGTGCATGCAGGCGGAGATGGCGCAGGGCACCGCTGCGAGCGGGTGCGCGGAAAAGTGCGCAGTGGCCAGCACGGCCCCCAGCGCGCTGTTCTGCATGCCAACCTCAATGCTGTTAGTGCGCGCGGCGCGCTCCGGCACCCCCACCAGTCGGCTCAGGAAGTATCCCAGCGCGAATCCCACTGCAGTTTGGGTGTGTGGAGGAGTGAGGCTGAGATGTAAAGAAGGCAGAGAGGTCTTTCTAGCTCTGGGGATGGCAACGGCAGCAGAGGCTCTCAAGCGCGCAGGCTTGCGGCATGAGACCGGAGCGCAGGGATCTACCTCAGCCTGGCCAAGCCGGCGCTCCCTGAATCCCTGCCACGCAAGTTACAAAAACTGCCCTCCTCCCAGGCTCACAGCCGTGCAGGGCGGCGACGGCGAGGAGCAGCCGGGGCCCCGCGGCGAGGACAGCGGCGGCGTTGGCGGCAATCACCCGCCCGCAGATGAGGGCGATGACGGCTACGGCGGACAGCGCGCAGGCCGGGGCCACGGCCGCCACGGCGCGTGGAAAGCAGGAATTGAGGGCCGTGCCCAGGAGGACCGGGCCCAACACCACCTGGAGGGTGGAGAGGAGGAGGGCGGGGCCGTCCACGGGCACCAACGTGCCCAGCGTGAGCCCGGTCATGGTGGGGGTCATGACCACCGCCCCAAGGGTGCTGGCGGCGGTCATGGCCACGCTGAGCGTGACGTCGGCGCCCGCCAGGAAGGTGACCACGTTCGAGGCGGTGCCGCCGGGGCAGGAGCCCACCAGGCACAGGCCGATGACGTGGTCCAGGGGGAGGGAGACGAGGCGGGAGATGAGGTACGCGCTGCCGGGCATGATGGTGTATTGCAGTACGAACCCCACCGCAATCTGGCGCGGGCGGGACAGCACCTGGCGCAGCTCCTGCGCCAGGTTGGGAGAGCACGGGGGGAGGAGGTGATGTAAGGGGGCCCCAGAATTCTGTGCTTCCGGGCCTGCCTAGGATGGCCAAAGACACGGAATACAGAGCACTCCAGCATGACCCATGAGGGGGCACGACAGCCAGAGCAGCAACATGATGGCCAGGGTCATTGCCATTCCATCCTTTCTCATACAGTAATGTCCCTCCCCACACACCGACATTCCTTGTGCCGCACCTCAAAGGTCAGCGTCAGGCCCATGCCCAGCATGGTGGCCGCCAGCCCCGCCGTGACATACTCGGCCCTGAACCAGTCAAAGGACGCGGGGCGCATCAAGCCCAGAACGGCTGCGCCCACGACAAAGACGGGGAAGGCATTGGTCAGCGCGATGGCCAGGGATGCCAGGCGCGCCCCAAAGCCAGGATCGCTGGATGGCGCGAGGGGTGCGTCGGGAGAGAGGCTGGCGGACGGGGTGGAGGTGGGGCCGCGGGCGGTGTGCCTGGGCCTGCTTGGAAAACTGCCACCTAGTCGCTGGGGCCTGGCATCCGGCTGCGGGGGGTGACGTCTTCCGAGGCCACGAGAGGCTGCCTGCACGCATGCTGCAGGGTACGATCGGATTATGCATGGATTGCCCGCCCGTGCCGAGCTTGCTGTAGGCTGGACGGCGGGCATCGTCCCAAGCCCGAACACAAATGGCGAGTACAAGGATACCCGGCGGGTGAACACTTCACGAGCCGCAGCGACAGCTGCTCGTCAGAGCGACGGAAGGAAACAATTCCGATGATGGGGCGTCCGATCCCAGGATTCAGGGTGCCACATCGATCGGGAGTCCTGTTGCAATGTCAACCTGGGCGCGCTGCATATCTCAATATCCATTCAGGTCCAAGCATGCAGGTCGTCCTGACGGACTACTAAGTCTCAAATGCATGGATTTTCAAAACGGTCTCCATGCTTTGCTGCTCTGGGATTCCAACTTCCGTTGAGATCCTCCCTGGTGATGGATACAAGACACACTGTGAATGGGCACTCATGATCCTTGTCAACGCTACGATACCTGCAAGCCAGTACGAAGCTTCCCAGCTTGCCATACATTGGGAGGGATGGTTTCGTGACTGCTCTCGTGGTAAAGTGCCTCCGAACGCATCAGGCTATGCCTGCACAGTGGATCAGATGGCCTCTATGGCAGCCTTCTGAGCGCTGGCCAGTAACGCACTCTCGCCAAGCATGCCAAGACAAAGTACAATTATTCCAAGGACCTATTACTTAATACGTCAAGGCCGATTCCCAAGGTGACCTGATTTTATGTGAACGAAGAAAGCATTATATTGGAAATGTGATGGCAATGCATCAACACACGTCTAAGATCTGGCCCCCACACAGGACTGCCTGCAGGGTGCACGATCGGTGCCCTACCAATGCTTGTGTACCTGCGCAGCCATCACCGAAGACCTCACTTGCCCAATGGCCAATGTTGCATATTCCTCTCCAAAAGGATTATTGACCCTAACAGTCAATGAGATCTCTGAAGCTGACTAATCCAGAATTGATCGGGTTGACAGCTTAATAACGGTTCCTAGTCTGCGTACGACACTCCGAACATGTGCAGGCAGCTCAAGCTATTAGAATCCCAATCACAAGCCCTCTGTGCGAGGCCCGGAGTTCATGCGGTGCATGCTGAGGTGGGGTCTCACCTGCCAACCCCAATCACTCCCGATCTTGGATCGTAAGGCCGAGGTGCATTGGGCCATTGCAGCATTCTGAATACGTAGGGGGGCATCCGTAGACCCGAGATCCCTGCTGGTGACATCACCGCCTCTCAGCGGGAGGGAGTCCGAAAGGCTCGACACACACCTGTGCTAGTGTCGTAACGACCGACGCTGGCGGCACCCGACATCGACATAGATACCCCACCATCCTCAAATGTCTATGCTAGGTCTGCAAGTGCGGGGTGCGGTCTCCAGCGACTCCCACCGAGGGCCGACTGCGACGGCACTGGCGGGAGGTCGGGACATGCACCGACTTCATGGTGAGGGCCTCATGGGCGATGGGTTGCGGGGTCACAGTGAATGTACCATGTTTGAAGGCTTTGGTTCGTGCGCCCCCGAATGTGCTGGTATTCATCGGCACATGTGTAGGCATCAACACCTGAGTCAGCACCATGCCCCTGGGGGCCTTTGTTGGATTGCCATGCCTCCTTCCATACCTGCTCCCACGCAGCGTCTCCCTATGGCCGGGCATTTGGCTCCCGGCCTGGGCCCTGTGTGCGCGTGCGATCGTCCAGCCAGCCTGGCAAGCAGTCGTCCGGCAGCAGCGACTTGTGGAAGGAGCATGAGGAGCTGCTGGCCAAGGTTGGTGGAGAGGGTGCTGCGGGATCTCAGAGCGGGCAGGCATGTCCATGGGGCCATGGATCGATGGCAGTGAGACACTCGGGGGTGCTCCCTCATATCTGCGCTCATAAGTATTGGTGACCTCCCCCCAAGCACCCCAAGAGTGCTTGAATGACTGCCCTGACTCCCGCCACGAATCCAACCCACTTCCTTTACTCCCTTTCGCAGCTGGAGGCACGGAAACGTGAGCACAGCGCTCGCAAGGCCGGCAATGGCGCCGGGGCCAGGGACTCGGGCGCCAGGGCTGGGGACTCTGGCCTTCAGACCAAGGGTCCAAGCGCCTCGGCCAGAGACTCCGGGCTGCAGACCAGGGGTCCGGGCACCCTAAAGACCAGGGCCAGCAAGGCAGAATTGAGGGGCGCCAACGTCCAGGCCCCCGCGACACGCCCCCAGCCGCCATCCGCCGCGCCGGCCCCCGCCGCCCCCGCGGCGCAACCTGCCGCGAAGGCCTGGCAGCCCGCCCCAAGTGCTGCCCCCGCCCCCCGCCCGGCCCCCGCCAGCCCCCCCACCCCCGAGCCGTCCCCGCCCCCGCCGTCCCCGGCCCGCCACCCCAACCCCAACGCCATGAACGTGGTGATGGTGGGCGCGGAGTGCGCGCCCTGGTCCAAGACCGGCGGGCTGGGCGACGTGATGCACGCGCTGCCCAAGGCGCTGGCCCAGCGCGGGCACCGCGTGGCGGTGGTGGCCCCACGCTACGCGCAGTACCCCGACGCCTGGGAGACGGGGGTGCGCCTGCGCCTCCGCGTCTTCCATGCGGAGCAGGAGGTCGGCTTCTTCCACGCCTTCCAGGACGGCGTGGACTTCATCTTCGTGGACCACCCCGCCTTCCACGCGCATGCGGGCGACATCTACGGCGGCTCCCGCCACGACGTGCTCTTCCGCTGCGCGCTGCTGTCCAAGGCGGCGCTGGAGGTGCCGTGGCACGTGCCCTGCGGCGGCGTGCCCTACGGCGAGGACAACCTGCTCTTCCTGGCCAACGACTGGCACACCGCGCTGCTCCCCGTCTACCTCCAGGCCCACTACCGGGACCACGGCCAGCTCACCTACGCGCGCTCGGTGCTGGTGCTCCACAACGTCGCGCATCAGGGGCGTGGGCCGCTGGCCGACCTGGCCCTGCTGGAGGTGCCCGGCGACTACGCCGAGTCCTTCCGCCTGGACGACCCGCTGGGCGGGGAGCACGCCAACGTGATGAAGGCGGGCGTGGCCGCCGCGCACCGCCTGGTGGCCGTCTCGCGCGGCTACGCCTGGGAGTGCCAAACCCAGGACGGCGGCTGGGGGCTGGACGCCGTCTTCAGGGAGGCCGCCTGGAAGCTGGCGGGCGTGGTCAACGGCATCGACCCGCGCGAGTGGGACCCCGCCACCGACCGCCACCTGCAGCACGATGGCTACCGGAACTACGGCCTGCAGGACATGGCGGGGAAGGCGGCCTGCAAGGCAGCCCTGCAAAAGGTGTGCTCTCGGTTCTTCTTCTGTCCTTGGGGGGTTGCGGGGGGAGGGGGGGTGTGCCGGGTCCCGCCCGCTCACCCCGACGGGCAAGCGGGCGGACCGAGTGCGGCCTGGGGCGCGGCCCTTGCGCAACCTGTCGGTACACTGATGGCTCGTGCGCCTTGGGACATGAACACGCACACACACCCCCGCCCCCTCACCAAACGCAAAAGGAGCTGGGCCTGCCGGTGGACGCGCGGCGCCCGCTGCTTGGCTTCATCGGGCGCCTGGACTACCAGAAGGGCGTGGACCTCATCCGCGACAATTACGAGTGGCTGATGGGGGAGGGCGTGCAGCTGGTGATGCTTGGGTCGGGGCGTGAAGACCTGGAGGCCTCTTTGAGGTGGGTGAGGGGGTGACTTGAAGTGGGGGGGGGGGGGGCAGGCGAGTGAAGGAGCCAGGCTGGGGGATGGGAGGGATGTGAGAAGGCCGTCGGGGCGGTGCGTCGCTGGCGCCCTCCCGCCCGGGTTCTGCGCAGGGATGGGTCCCACCTGTGGGCCCTCAGGATGCTTGACCACCAGCCCCCTTTCCCACCTGCCCAAACCCCACCCCCCCACACACACCCTCAGGGACATGGAGAGCCGGAACCACGACAAGTGCCGCGGCTGGGTGGGCTTCTCGGCGGCCATGGCCCACCGCATCACCGCCGGCGCCGACATCCTGCTCATGCCCTCTCGCTTTGAGCCCTGCGGCCTGAACCAGCTCTACGCCATGGCCTACGGCACGGTGCCCGTGGTGCACGCCGTGGGCGGCCTGCGCGACACGGTGCAGGCCTACGACCCTTACGCCAACGCCGGCACCGGCTTTGTGTTCGAGTGGAGCGACGCGGGCGCCTTCCGCAACGCGCTGGGCGACGCGCTCTACACGCTGCGCGAGTACCCCGACTCCTTTGCCGGCATCCAGCGCCGCGGCATGGAGCAGGACCTGACCTGGGACCACGCCGCCGCGCAGTACGAGGACGTGCTGCTCCAGGCCAAGTACCAGTGGTGAGAGTCTGCGAGAGACGCGGGGCGGCAGGAGGCGGGCGCGGGGGCGGCGCCCTCCTCACGCGCCCCGCGCCTGCCCGTCAGCCGAGCCGCGCCTGCCCCACTCCACACGCCCGCGCCAGGCAACGGCGTGACAGGGTGTCTGCGGCGCCCTGGGCCAAGAGGCCTTCAACAGGGAGGGACTGGTCCGATCCCCTGCTAGACGTCGGCACAGAATCTCGCCAGCCCAGAGCGGCCCTGCCATCCTTCCCGTCGTGAGTGTGTTCAAACGCCCTGACGCTGCCCATCCCCCCCTCCCGCCCTTCCTACTCTCATCAACACCGCTGGAAGTCTGCCAGGCGACTGCGATCCCCCTCTCCCTTCCTGCTGCCGTGCCTGCCCAGCGTTCGAATCCGGTTTCGCTCCTGGACTGGGAATACTTCCCCCATTCCCAGCCTGCTCGTCGCCTCTGATACTGACCGTGCTGTCCATTATGCTTGTACTGAGCCCCACGAGATTACAGACGCAGCTCGAGGATGGTGCACAAAGGCACTGCTTTACGGCGGGCTGAGCCTGAAGGGGGCTCTCGTCAGGTGCGCGCAAAACCACCCTACGAACACCGCGTGTCCCTCGGAGGTCGGATGTGTCTATCGCGACCGTGCCCCCGAGAAAGAAAACGCCCAAATGATCCGTTCCACGACCCGCTGCCGCTAACCAGGAATGTTTGGCCCGGCACATTGTCGCAGAGAGGGGCTCTCGCGCCTTCCGGGGTACACGCCCGTGACATTGCCACGTCATCAACGGTGCTTTGGGTGGGCTAGCAAGCCTCCGGTGGTGCGTGCACAGGGCTCGAGAACAAACGAACAATTAACATCGATGCCTCGAGGAAGAATGTCGTGGTGGGGGGGCATGCCGGGGCCTTTTTGGGAAGTGGGGAGGTTGAGTGTCGTACAACCCTCCCAACTCTCGGATGAGGGTTGCAGGGTCCGACTCTGCGGATCCTCCCCATGATTGGGCCAGGGGAACTTGGAAGGGGGGGCTCCAACCCAGCGCGATGGCCCACCGCCCACCATTCTCCATACCCATTGAATTCCATCATGTCTGTGTAAAGAGTGGGCAATGGCAAACCTCGGCTATCCCGCTCGCGCCCTGGAGGGTCCTGTCACCGACCTGGACGGGGGGGTAGTAGAGGGACCCACCTCTCCTGCGAGACGGAAACTGCTTTTGGCAAATAGCGCAATCACTCCATGCAATAGACTGGAATGGTCCCTGGCGGCAGGTGCCCCCAACCAGGCGGACGAGGAGGCCAACCTGGACGCCAGCCTTCCAACACGCTTCCCCTCACAGGCGCGGATGGGCTGGGACGAGGGCGCCTTGCATGCCCCATTCACCCGCGTTTACAGACGACCGTGTCGAGTGTGCCATGTGGGGTTGGCGAGGTCGGGGAGGCGCGCGAATCTGGCATGCCGGGGCTTCATGCCACCGCTCGACCCTACGCCGAATCTACCCCTTCAGAGGGGGGGTTTGGCTTCACCCCCCTCCGCTCGGACCCCGTCGACCACCCCCACTCACCCTGCCCCACGCCCCCTCTCACATTCCCACAGGATGCCAGCCCCTCCTCCTCATTCACATCGATCATGCACTCCATGAGGCCCAGGCCCCTGTCCGCCGATCCCGACGCAGGTCTGTACGACGCTCCCATCTGGATGCTGTGCTGCTATGCGCTGTCCCAGCTGCCGGGGCAGCGCGGCAGCCTTGCCTGCATCCACGCCACCCTTGCGGCGCTGCTGTGCGGTCATGTGGTCCTGCCCTGGGTGAACCAGCTGCACAAGTACCTAGCAACCTCCAGCCTGGATGGGCGGGGGATACAGAAACATGTCACGACAGGTGTGTGTGCCCGTGTGTGTTTGGGAGAGGGTGGGGTGGGGTGGTTGAGGGTGGGATGGGCGCTGGGCACAGATGCATGGCCTGTGTTGGGACTGCCGCCGATTTTGGTCCATGTCCTGGCAGAGAGCGCGCCAGGCTCCATCTGTGGGCGCCCTAGCACGCATGCCTTTCCAAGGCCCCTTCCCCACCCTCCCCTCCCCTCACATGCCCTTCCCCTGTCCCTTTCCTCTGATGCAGAGGGCCAACGTGAGTATCAACTGCACGAGGACTGCATCCCCTCTGTCCTCAAGCCTGGGTGGCTGCACTTCAAGCGGTGGGCATCCCTGCAGACGCAGTCCAGCCAACCCGGCACCTCAAAACAGCACACCTTCTCCGCTTTCACCTTATTTGCTTGACACTGGGCAGGAGCGGGCCAGCGGCAATGCACGCTGTGTTCTGCCACTCCTCCTAGGCGCTCCTTGGCCTTGTGCATTCCCCTTCTGTCTTCCATGACGGGGTGTTGGTAGGCCTAAAGCTCCCTGCCAGTACCCCGCACTCAGCTTGCACTCTTCACCAGTGCACTGTAACACCCACACCACTGCGAGCTGAGGTTACAAACGGACAAAGAATAGTAAGGAGAACTGCTTTGGGTTAGTTTGTGAAGATTGCGCCGAAGCTCTCCTGGCAGGCAGCCTCAAGTGGGGGCAGCACTGGGGTGCAATCTGTGGTGCTCAATACACTAGCGAGCTATGGGCTCCCTCTTGGGCTGGCCATCTGTTCCAGCAGATGAAAGTGTCTGGTGGCTTTTTCTGGCTATGCACCATCCACCCGCGATCATCGAGTGCCAAGATCAAAGGGAGCGCTTGGGCGCATTCTCAGGGAGGAGGTAGACGGCTCCCGTCCCGAACAATACAAACACGCTGGAGCTGCAGGGGACGAGGAGGGGGCAGGAGCTCACTCGAACACTTGTAGCTTTCTGATTCGAGCACCAGTCACCAAGCAATGCCAAGGGTGTGCCTTTCCAGTGCCCCAAATCACGCACCTGAGCAGCTGCTTCAGATCAGTTTTGACACCGTAGTTTGCGAGCGAGGACAGGATGCAGATGATTGCCGTCCAGGCTGCCATCTTCCCCTGCACATTCGAAAACAGAGGCCATGGTGGCTAGCACATTTAAGAAGCTCAGACAGGGACAAAGTGCCCTACCAGGGCTGCCAGTGGGAGCCAGCACTTGACTCCGCCGAGAATGTGGCGTGCACATCGCTGACAGTCCTCATCACGCTGATTCCCCCACACTGAAGCCTCCAATTTCACCTTTAGCAAGAGGGCTGCCATTCCTAGGCACAGAGCAGCCATGAGGTAGGTGTCGGGGAGGTCATCGTCCTTCACCACATGGCGCTTATACTTGACGATATCGTTCGGGCGCCTGGGATCTCCAGCAACCTGCACGCCAAGGACAAAAAGAGAGCATTCAAGCAGAGGTATACCACCACGAACTCATGCGAGGATGTTCGAGGCGAGTGTCCATGGTATCACCTTGGGTTGCAGAGGCATGGTCGTGGGGAGAGGAGGCCAGGCACCGAACTTCGACAGGGTTCAAACTCCTTCTTATCGATGTGGTGATTTCGTCACGATTATAGGTGCTCGCTGGAGCTGAGTGTCTCCGTTGCAAGGGTTCTGAGGTTCAGCGCTCGCGCCTTCCCTCGAAGGGTTGATTGGACGGAGTCCAGGAACGAGGACTCATCTGTGAGTGCTTGCAGCTTGTCGCCATCATTGCGCAAAGTTAGTTCCCCCATCGCCGCTCGAGTATATCCTTGTCTGAGATCAGCCTAGTCTTGGGTGTCAATCGCGTGTACCGACTGGACCGTGCCTCTGGTCGCCACGCTGCTTACGCGTCCTTCGCCGCGCCACAGAGGGTCGCGTTTAGTCTCTGTAGGTTACAATTCCCATTCATTCTGGTCTGACGAGCGCAGGACGTCGGTAACGGTCACCGTAGTTTGCGAGCGAGGACAGGATGCAGATGATTGCCGTCCAGGCTGCCATCTTTCCCTGCACATTCGAAAACAGAGGCCATGGTGGCCAGCACATTTAAGAAGCTCAGACAGGGACAAAGTGCCCTACCAGGGCTGCCAGTGGGAGCCAGCACTTGACTCCGCCGAGAATGTGGCGTGCACATCGCTGACAGTCCTCATCACGCTGATTCCCCCACACTGAAGCCTCCAATTTCACCTTTAGCAAGAGGGCTGCCATTCCTAGGCACAGAGCAGCCATGAGGTAGGTGTCGGGGAGGTCATCGTCCTTCACCACATGGCGCTTATACTTGACGATATCGTTCGGGCGCCTGGGATCTCCAGCAACCTGTACGCCAAGGACAAAAAGAGAGCATTCAAGCAGAGGTATACCACCACGAACTCATGCGAGGATGTTCGAGGCGAGTGTCCATGGTATCACCTTGGGTTGCAGAGGCATGGTCGTGGGGAGAGGAGGCCAGGCACCGAACTTCGACAGGGTTCAAACTCCTTCTTATCGATGTGGTGATTTCGTCACGATTATAGGTGCTCGCTGGAGCTGAGTGTCCCCGTTGCAAGGGTTCTGAGGTTCAGCGCTCGCGCCTTCCCTCGAAGGGTTGATTGGACGGAGTCCAGGAACGAGGACTCATCTGTGAGTGCTTGCAGCTTGTCGCCATCATTGCGCAAAGTTAGTTCCCCCATCGCCGCTCGAGTATATCCTTGTCTGAGATCAGCCTAGTCTTCGGTGTCAATCGCGTGTGCCGACTGGACCGTGCCTCTGGTCGCCACGCTGCTTACGCGTCCTTCGCCGCGCCACAGAGGGTCGCGTTTAGTCTCTGTAGGTTACAATTCCCATTCATTCTGGTCTGACGAGCGCAGGACGTCGGTAACGGTCTACTTCTCCGTCACCCCGAGCCTGGCAGTGCCCTCCACCCCCTCCAGAACAAACATTCCTCGACCGCCTGTTGCCCCCGTTCCCGTCCCTCTCGCGCACGACACAATTGCGCCGCGCGAGCTTTGCCCACGCAGCGAATGGTGGATCAGCCAAGTTTGGCACCACAATGGCTTCGCGAGAAGAAACACGGTCCCGGTGTACTACCCCATGACAAAGGTGTGGTGCAGGGTCCCGCTCTGGTGGGCATGTCCTTGGGCTCGTCAACCCCCTTCGCCTGACGCCTTGCCCCTCTATTGAACCACAGAGTTCAACAGCCCTCGGAAGGCAGCAAGCAGTCCCGCACCCCTGAGCACGCGATCCCTCACGCCCAGCCGGTTGCCATGGGCCTCCAGTTCGCCGGCGCCCGCCACCCCTCCGGCAGATTTCCGCAAATCCAGCACAGACCAGCGCCCCGTCGGTGCCTTTGCTTCACGGGCAAACTATTCCAGCGACAGGGGCCCCCAGTCTGGGCGGTCAGAGTCTCATTATACTCATGACGCGAGGACTGACCACACCTCTAGGCCTGCGGCAACGGTGCGTTTGGGGGGGTGGGGTGGGGGGGAGGAGGTTGTGTCCCTGGGCAGGCTGGGATGCGAGCATGGGACGAGTGCTCGCCTTGTCTAGGCATTGTGTGCCAGAGGCGCTAGGCTGGCTGGGCCCATTCTGCGGAACGTCAGGGTGCTGCGGCTTGAACCATGCGGCGGTCCCTGGCGCCTCTGGTTCGTGCTGGACGCCCTCAGCCTCACGCCGACTAACGCCCCTGCAGACCTGGCGGGACCCCAGCTGGGCATCCAGGCCCTCCGCCCTGTTGGCGCCGGCCCCTGCTCTAGACCCTGCGCTCGGCATCCCCGACCTACCCTCCCCGGTCTCCTCCCTCCCCCCCGCATCCGGCGCATGGGCCGCAGGAGCGACGCCGGCAGCCGCCCCGGCCCCCGTCTCCAAGCTCGCCAGCAAGCCCGGGGCAGCCACTGTCAGGTCTGCAGGCCAGGG